GAATCTAAAATAGATCAGGTTATTCCTGTGAAGAAAATGCTTTATTGGTTACATCTGGAAGCCTAGTAGGCTCGTATGGTGCTTTCTGATGCCTATAGCTCGGCTGGTTTGAAGAAGGCCTAACACATTTGCATCTCACTTACGAGATCTCCGGTGTTATCTTGTTGCTGGCTCCTAGATCTGAGGCAGGAGTTATCCCATGGCTGCTGGAAGCAAGGCAGGTTCTTGGCTGTTTTGTGCCTGGGAACAGACTGCAGAGGAAGACTGAGCTTGGGGCAGTCTGGTAGTTCCCGTGCAGTCATCCTTCATGCTCAGACATATGCCACCAGCTGAAATCAAAACAGGACCCAAACTGGCTTCTGCTGTGTTCAAATGCTTCATAAGAACATCCACAGTGGTTTTTTTGCTGTGATTAGGTTACCTTCTGGTTGTGCAGACTGGGAGTTTCCATGGGATTTGTGTATGAATTCATTCGGAAGCAGAACCAAGATTACTTTGCCCTTTTACATAAAGCAGTGTAAATATTGAAACCTCTTGCTAAAGACTGTGACAGCAGATTACTCATGGTTCATTCTGTCATTTTTGATCTTCTTCTACAGGTAAGGCAGTAATAATAATACTGTGAACATAACCCTACATCTAGTGCACTGCCTGTGAAAGGTTTAAGCTCCTGGAGTCGCTGTCTCCTCCCAGCCTGATGTGCAGCCCACGTCGACAACAAGTGAAGCTCTGCCTTCGTTAGGTTCAAAGCCCAAATTAATGCTGAGCTCGGTAGAGCCCCATTTACATGGGCTGAGCGTGACCCAGACTGGGTCTTGTGTTCATCATGGGCTCATGTATCTGACACTGCATCGTGTCTGTGGCACCTATCCATCCAGCACCAGCCTTTTCACAGGAGTGCTGCAGTCAACGAGCACTGAACACACAGAATTATTTTAAAAAACCCAAACCCAGCCCTGGTTAATCATTTCTGCAAACTGTTTTGAAAAAGTACCAGCTTTAACAGTGTAGCCTTAATAGCCGTAATAACTGTGGTATAAATGTCAAACCTCTTATGTTTGTGTTTGATTCCAGCTTAGCGTACTTTTATTGATTGTTTGTTATTTGCTTTGTAGAAGCCACGCTTGGCCCAGAAACAAGGGAGTTTACCACTTCTGCTCCAAACGCCAGCAAGGCAGCATCATTTTCAACTGCAGTGATAAACAGTACGTTGTCACCAACAACTATACCGACTATATTACCTATGAGCTCCTCTGACAACAGTACCTCTGCTTTTGCAGACGTTTCATGGACTCAGTTTAACATAATTATTTTGACGGTCATCATCATTGTTGTGGTCCTGCTCATGGGCTTTGTGGGTGCTGTCTACATGTACCGTGAGTATCAGAACAGGAAACTTAACGCTCCTTTTTGGACCATCGAACTCAAAGAGGACAACATCAGTTTTAGCAGCTACCACGACAGCATACCCAACGCTGATGTTTCGGGGCTGTTGGAAGACGATGGCAATGAAGTGGCCCCGAATGGACAGCTGACGCTGACGACTCCCATGCATAATTATAAAGCTTAGAAGCAGCCGTGATCCAGCTATTCCAAAATTGGCTTTAAAAAGTCACAGGGCTTGTTAAAGGGGTGTCAGGATCCGTGCCAAGGCTCCACGCAGAGGAATTCGCTCTTCAGATACTCTTGTGCTGGGCATGCTGTAGCTTGCAGGCGAACAGAAAAGAAGTGCAGTACATCTGAATTTCAGGTAATATGGTGGAATGCATTCAGTGTCCTGTTCTCCACAAAGTTCTACAGAATTCACTGTTGTTACACGTGGTTATCCTGATCTTAAAATACTGTTTTTTAATGAAGAGGTGGTGGGCTGGAGAAAGCAGTACCCCGTGGTTAATCAGAAGCCACTCGATTTCCAGCCAACCTAACGCTTACATCTGCATCCTTTAGTTTGAAAAGTAGCTCAAGAATTAACAGTGGATGTTCAGGAAACAGCCCTTTGTAAAGGCTTCATGTTAGTTCCTGACATGAATCTGTTTGAAAAGGAGGACAAAAAAAGGGAAATAATTGTTCACTGTACTACCAAGAGGCAAAGTAGAGGAGTGAGATGCACACTTGAAAAAAGTCACCGTTATCAGTTTCCAGTAAGCAGGGAACCAGGAAAAAGAAATAATGAAAATATTGGAGTTAGGGAGGAGATGAAGCTTTTCCCTTTCTGAGTATTTATACAGGGTGATGATGCTATTAAAACATAGCGATCCATTTGTTTTTTTCTAGAAGGAGTTAATGAACTTGTATAGTTTCTGTGCAAGGGAAGACGACAAGACATCTCAGGGTTGCCGTGTAAAAATAAAAGCTAGGCTTAATACCCTACCCTGATAGAAATGGTGTGTTCTGTATATAGAATGTAATATATCTTCTCGGAGTTGTATTTGTAATTATTTGTAAAAAAGACAACCAACCAACCAAAAAAAGCCCCAACAACAAAACCGTGAACCCCTGTCCAACCTCCCCTGTTCCCCGAGTCATATTTTATCATCTAGATTTTAATTGTACAGCGGTTAGTGGCGTTGTTTAAAGAGAAAAACAATGAGGATTGTTTAAAATACTGTAAATGAGATGGCAATATTGTTGGAGCTGGGACTCTGGCAAACACTGACTGCTTAAAGCTTTTCTTCTGGTGTCATTGAATAACTTTCTTTTTTAGAGAAAATGTGAGTGTTCCCTACTTGCATCTGTCAAATTTTCCCATTCCTTTAAATATAGAGTGAATATCAGTGTTGCCATGACTAGGGCCTCGTGGGTGTCCAAAAATCGGATGTCTCATTCTGTTACTTGCTTTTAAATCTTGACACAAAATGCAGATACACTGTCACGAATGCGCTGAGAGCCCGATCTCGATGGCCGAGCTTTTCCCAGGTGGCTGCTCATCGTATGAGTGGATCTTGCTGCCATCTCTTCCGTGCTGATGCAGTGATGGGGGGCCTTGCTGAAGGGCTGAGTGCAGCCTCCTGGCTTCTTGAAGGGCAAAAGCAAAAATCTCCTGGATTTGGGTGAAAACGGCTTCCGGCCGAAGAGCTTGCAGGAGCCGATCTGCACTTCTAGGCTTAAAGGCTAAAAGTGCATGAATGCTTTCAGGAAAACCATGCAGCACAAGGTGGGGGTGGTGGGGAATCAGCTGTCAGAAAAACCCACCGAGGACTTTAGGTTTTAGAGATTCCCCTGTTTTTTGTGGAGGTTGGTGGACTGTTGGCAGAGGGAGAGCAGCTCATGGGCAGCACAGCAAAGGGAGGTCACACCATGGAGCCCGCAGGCCCTGTGCCCTCCCTGTGTTTGGGGAGCCACCAGGTCCCACCTGGGGAAATCAACGCCATTACATTTAAGCAGGGCGTGAAAGAAATATTTCACCTCACTCCTGACCAACCTCAGGACTAAAGCTGCGTTGCTGTGCCTGTTGGTGCTTTGCAAGCGATGGGTGCTGAGGATAAATGAAGTACCTGCTGAAGGTCAGCAGGAGCTGACTGATGCGTCCTCAGAGCCAGGCAAAAAGAAACCTTTCTCCAGATGAGAAATGGTAGGAAGAATGTGGTGATTATTTATTTGCTTTCTGGTGCTGCATGGAGGCTTTTCTTGTCATTGGAGACTTTGGGGGGTGGGGGAATAGGTGCTTTAAACACATGCACAAAGATACCATTTTTGCCTCAAAAATTTCCTGCCCAATTTAAAGATGAGGCACAGCGAGGACGAAGGAAAATGGTCAAGGATGACCAAGGGCAATGGAGAGGGCAGAATTGCCCTATTTTGCTTATAGGCCTGAGCCTATGGAAAAGCTCCCGTTGTCTGCGATGGGCCTGGGTGGGTCCTGGATTTTAGGTAATAAATTTGGCTGATGTCATTCAGAGCAACGTTACTTTCAGCTACAAAACAGGGGAGGACTGGAGGAGAAAATCTGGATGTTGCTAATCCTTGAGTCACTCATCAGACTTCTAAAGAGCACAGCGGTGACAAAATAGAAAATTTCCTAAACGTTGTAATTAATTAGCAGTGCTGATCTAGCGATACACTTGCACTTGGTCACTTCATAGGGTGGGGAAAGGTAATTTAGGGAGCATTAGCATCTGAGACTAATGCTGGCAGGCAAAGTGAAGGACAGACTGTTCACTTTAATGTTTCCAAAATATTTTAGTACAACTTCTCATCTTTGCCACAGAACACCTCGTCCTCAGATTCTGGTGTGACTGTAGGCTACTTTATAACAGGAATGGGCTTTGATTTTTCTCTCAGTGTAGAAACAGCGACCATCTGCAAAACCAGAGTGTGAGCTCTGATGCTGGGCCCTCCTGGTCTGTGCCCACCGCAGCACAGGAGGTGTTCGTATCTGGGCTGCTTCTGACCTCCAAGATAGCTTTGTGTTTGAGCTTCGGGCCTGAAAAGAGGAGGAGGTGAGGACGCCTTGCGGTCAGTCTACACGGGAGGGTGCTACAGCCATGCTGGTGCCTGTGGGTCACACATCTGGATGAAGAGATTTAGACAGCCCCTGCAGATGTGATGGGAAGGTTGGTTGAGCAGCAGGGACCTGGCTGCCCAGGTCTGGACAGCAGAGGAAAGCACAGGATGTTCTTGAGCAGGGACTGGAGCACAGTGGGGATGTGGCACTGGGAGAGTGTTTGTCAGGTGGCAGTGACTCAGCCATCTCCAGCCAACCCGGCCTTTGGCACAGGGGAAAAATGTCTGTAAAAGGAGATTGATGCCGCAGCAAGGGAAGAATAAACACCTTTGTGTTTGACTTTGGTGCTGTGGGATTAGATCTTCCTTGCTCTCTCCATGAAGCATGCAGCTGTCCCCTGGGCACCACAGGAGGTGAGGAAGAAGCTGAGCTAGGTATATCTCCAGTCAGCTTAGGTTTGCATTGTGTTTTGAGGCAGTGCAGAGCTAAAACCTCTGTGCCAGGGTGCTAAAGGCCACCAGGACCTGCCGTGTGTGAGAACTTGTCATGAAGCTCCCTAGATGTTGAGGCTTGGCCTACACCATGGTGGGGTATAGGCATGTAAACCAGAAATAGACGTCCAGGGCTGCATTGAGGCCCAACTCAGAAGCTGGAAGACAAGGGGGAGGCACCTGAATGACTTCTAGGGCTGCTGTGGCGGTACAGAGACACGTGGCCTTCCTG